TAACAGTAGCAAAATTACAGTTATGAAGTAGCAACGAAAATAATTTTATGGTTGGGGGTCACCACAACATGAGGAACTGGATTAAAGGGTCACGGCATTAGGAAGGTTGAGAACCACTGTAACATCGGAGAGGGGGTGCGTAGTACTCCTCAATAGCAAGCCCACTTAGAAGATTTTCTTAGGAGCTTATCCTGTGATGTCATATTCTGACATACCTTGGTTCTGTTGGGGTTCAGCCAACCACTGTGTGTCTGGCCTGCGCCCTCCCAGGCCGGGCTCCAGGGCGAGAAGCGCGGGTCCGGGAGGAACTCAGGGCCAGGCCTGAGAAGCAGCGATGGGGTGTGGGGGGGACCTTAATGTGTGCAGAAGAGCATCAGAGCACGGGGAGAAAAGCCGCTGGGGGTCGCCTGCCTCTCCGTTAGGGTCGGTCCTCCTTGGCCCAGAGTCCCGAGCCGGCGCCGAATGCTGGCCCGGCTGTGGAGCGACAGGGACTCCAGGCACTCCCAGCCGTAGCTGGTGGAAATGCAGCATGGGACCTCCACTTGAGAAAAGAAGTTTGGCGGTTTCTTCCCAAAGTGGACAAGTTCTTACCATAGGATCAAGCAATGGTGCTCCTTGGCATTTCTCTAAAGGAGCTGGAAACCCTTACCTGCCGCCCTAGCTGGCTTGGCTCAGTGGATAGAGCGCTGGCCTGCGGACTGAAGGGTCCCGGGTTCAATTCTAATCAAGGGCACATGCTGGGGTTGCAGGCTCGATCTCCAGTGTGGGGCCTGCAGGAGGCAGCAGATCAATGATTCTCTCTTAGCATTGATGTTTCCCTCTCTCTCTCCCTTCCTCTCTGAAATCAATAAAAGTTTGTTTTTAAAAAAACAAAAACCATTTACCTGCCCAGGGATGTTTATAGACATTTTATTCATAACTGCCCAACACCTGGAGGCCTTCAAGACGTCCTTCAGCCCTAGCCAGTTTGGCTCAGTGGATAGAGCATCCACCTGCGGACTGAAGAGTCCCAGGTTCAATTCCGGTCAAGGGCACGTACCAGCCTACGCTTGGTTGCAGGTTCCCCGGCCCTGGTCCCGGTGCGTGCAGGAGGCAACCAATCGATACGTCTCTCTCCCATTGCTGTTTCTGTCTCTCCCTTTCCCTTCCGCTCTCTCTAAAAATCAATGGACAAATATCCTCGGATGGGGATTAACAACAAAAACAAAAAGATGTCCGTCAGTGGTGACTAGGTAATCTGCAGTGTGTACTGACGGTGGCCTGGTGGCCTGTCCAGCACTGAGAGTAAATGAACTCCAAGCCATGGAAAGTCATGGAAGAACCTTATGTGCACATGACTAGGTGAACGACGTTTATCTAAAAATCATACGAGATGATTTCAACTCTATGACATTCTGGAAGAGGCGAAACTATGGAGACAGAAAAAAGATCAGTGGGTTCTTAAGATGGAGGTGGGGGGGACAGAAGGAGGGCCACCCTGTGCGGCTGGCGCTCACCTACGCATTCTCCCCACAGACGCTCACAGGACTCCCACAGGCCCAGTGTGAATGCTGCCACAGAACACACCCCGCTCGGCCGGCGGGCAGATGGGCTCTGCGCCCTGAGACCCGTGTGCCTGCTCCACAGACTCAGCGCTCAGGTCGCTCAGGCAGAGGCCCGAGCAAGGTTCCTGGGGCTCCGGGCACGGGGCCCCCTAGGGTCGTGAGGCTGTGCTTTCTGCCGCGCAGCCAGTAGAGTCCCTGGTCTCTGACCTGGAGCCCTGTCTGCTGCCAGCACAGAGGGCATGGTGGCAGGCTAGGTTGTAAGTTGGCAAGTGGGGTCAAATCTCAGACGCTTCCCAGTTCCCAATACACCCGAACAGAAGCTGCCCCGAGGCCCAGCCAGCGTTGGGGTGCACAGCTGGGGCTGAGGGTGAGCGGGGAAGTCTTAGTGCAGCTTTTTTGAGAGCCATAAGATTGGACAAGAATTGGGTTGGGGGACGGTGGGGTGGCCTCCAGGCCAGCTCTCCGGTCCAAATCCTGGCTCTCCGCTCACCTTGTGCAGTCCCTGCCCCTCTCTGTGCTCTGTACCTTTTTAAAAATATATGTGTTTATTGATTTCAGAGAGGAAGGGAGAGGGAGAGAGAGAAACATCAATGATGAGCATCATTGAGCGGCTGCCTCCTGCACGCCCCCTACTGGGGATGGAGCCCCGCGACTCGGCATGTGCCCTGACCACTTTAAAAAATATATTTTTTATTGATTTCAAAGAGGAAGGGAGAGAGAGAGAGAGAGAGAGAGAGAAACATCAATGATGAGACTCCTTGATCAGCTGCCTCCTGCACGCCCCCTACTGGGGATGGAGCCCCGGAGACTCGGCATGTGCCCTGACCAGGGATCCAAGCCTGACCTCCTGGTTCACAGGTCGAAGTTCAAACACCGAGCCAGCCCACAGGCCTGAGCTCTGTTCCTCTCAAAGGCAGGGTTCAGGTGAGATGAGAGTTCCTACAGGAAAAGCACTAAGCCAAAGCCCGCCATAACGGAGTGCGACAAAGGTTCCCGTGACTCCTTCAGCAGAGCAGGGCCCTGCCAAGAACCAGGGAGTGAGGAAGCTCCCTGCAGGGTTGGGGACCCCTAGCAGGACGGAGCCCTTGATCCTGGGGAGGGGGGGCGCATCCTCTCTTCCTCAGGATACAGAGTCCCAGGGCCCCCCCCCGGTTGGCTTCCTGCGGGAGGGGACCTGGTCCTCTGCAGGTAACCCGGGAGCAGGAGAGGCGGGAGGGGCTTGGGGAGGAAGGGGAGCACCAAGGACCCCCACCCCCACCCCAGACTAGGCTCCTGCGGGCCCTGTGCGCCCAGGGCAGATGCAGAGAACGTGAGTGGAGGCGAGGGAGGTAGGAATACGAACTTGAGCGCCACACCTGACCTCACCTCCCGGCCCTGCCTCAGTTTCCTCCTCTGGAAAGAGCGGGGTCACTAGCACTTCCTGGGTGCGCCCGGAGGAGCATGGAGAAGCCTCGGGAAAGGCGCTGGAGCCGGCTGGGAGGGGAGGGGAAGGGAAGGGAGGGGAGGGGAGGGCTCTCACGGTCCTCCCGCCTGCCCTCAGGATGCCCCTTCCGCCCCGACCTCCGC